CCCTCTTCCCCCCCCCCCCCGAATCCTCCTATTGCCTCTCGATATTCCATTACGACGTTCGACAAAGCGTCACGCGAGTTAAACTGAGAAAATGGCCGTCGGAAGCAGGCCATTTACAGACAACCATACGACCGTCCTAGAAAGATACGTGCAAGCGTTTGAAAGAGCGCGATAACGCTCCCTGTGACGCAGGGAGTGTTTAATACTTCTCTTAACGATGGCGCGCGAAACAGGACCGCGGATGAGAAATTGGGGGATCTCGAGCAAAGAACCCGGGCGCGAAGTACATATTTCACGCGCGTATGGGAAATTTAACGCAACGATTAACAACGATCGTGTCGAATAAATTGTATACATATGACTGATGAGGCAGAAAGACGACGCACGCGTGCCATCGAACAATCGGTGCCGATTTAAATTATGAGGTGAATTCGTCGGGCTGTATTTGGATTTCAGGATAGTACTAACGTATTATTCTACAAATACGCGATATACAGAGTCCCGTTGTTTCAGTAATATCGATGCTGTCATCAAGAGAGTGATTCTAAATAAATACCGGTCGAAAGTTCGACATTGGGGAAGAAAGCTTTTCAAATTTTCAAAATTCGCTCTGTACATATATACTATCATCGTTACGTTTTGCTTGCAACATCCATGATAAATTGTTATTTAGTTCTTAGAGTCGGTTAGCAAAAAGTATCATTAAATTTTCATTGGCGTCACTTTATCGGTTTGCTAAATGGCGCCGACCGATGATCCATCGTTCCCAGATGTAATCACTCATTCGCCTCCTCTTCAAAACGACGTCTTTCACGTCCGATAAACGAGCAGCGAAATCGTTCTGCTCCGTGAAATATTTAATGGAATCGATACGGGCTTAACTTCCATCGACAATTAAGGGAGAAAAAGAGGAATAGAATATTCCAATCGGATTTTTAATCGTCCGATCATTCGATGGAACCAAGAGAGAGAGAGAGAAAGAGAAGAACGAGAATCTATAGCCACGTTCAATTGCGAAATTCATCGGACGTTAA